AAATCACATACATACAATGGAATATTACTCAATCTTAAAAAGAAAGGAAATTCTAACTAAAGTTACAACATGAATGAATCTTGAAGACATTATGCTAAGTGAAATAAGCCAGACACAAAAGGACAAACACTGTAGGATTCCATTTATATGGTATACATACTGTAGTCAAATTCAGAGACAGAAAGTAATTGGTAGTTGCCAGGGGATGGGAGAGGGGGAAGTAGGGAACTATAGTTTAATGGGTACAGAATTACATTACAAAAAGAAAAAAAAAACAGACCAATATTCCTGATGAACATAGATGCAAAAATGCTCAAAGAAAATCAGCAAACTGAATTCAATACATGGAAAGGATCATTGACCACAATCAAGTGGTATTTATTTCAGGAATGTAAAGATGGTTCAATATCCACAAATCAACCACATTAACCAAATGAAGGATAAAAGTAATATGATCATCTCAAAAGATGCAGAAAAAGCATTTGACAAAATTCTACATCTAGTCATGATAAAAACTCTCAATAAAGTTTAAAGGGAACATACCTCAGCATAATAAAGACTATATATGATAAACCCCCAGCTAACATCAAACTCAATGGTGAAACGCTGAAAGCTTAGAGTACTAAGATCAGAATCAAGACAAAAATAAGGATGTCCACTGTCACCACTTTTATTCAACATAATACTGGAAGACCTAGCTGCAGCAATCAGACAAGAAATGAATACAAATTCATGAGGAAGAAGTAAAACTGTCACTATTTGCAGATGACATACTATATATAGACTGTAAAGACTACTAGAATGATTATTAGAATAAATGAATTCAGTAAAGTTGCAGATACAAAATATACAGAAATCTGTTGCATTTTTACACATTAATAACAAACTAGCAGGGAAGTTAATAAAACAACCCATACACAATTGCACCAAAAAAATATCCAAAAATAAATTTAACCAAACAAGTGAAAGACCTATACTCTGAAAACTATATAACACTAGTGAAAGATAATAAAGATGACACAAATAAATGGAAAGTCATACTGTGCTCCTGGATTGGAATAATACTGTTAAAATGTCCACACTATCCAAAGCACTCTACAGATTCAATGCAATCTCCATCAAAATACCATAGTATTTTTAACTAGAACAAATAATCCTGAGATTTGTATGGAAACACAAAAGACCCCAAATAGCCAAAGCAATCTTGAGAAATAAGAAGAAAAATGGAGGTATCACAATCCCAGATTTCAAACTATACTACAAAGCTGTAGTAATAAAAACAGTATGGTACTGGCACACAAATAGACACACAGATCAATAGAACAGACAGTCCAGAAATAAGCCCAGACTTATATGGTCAATTAATCTACAGTAAAGGAGAGAAGAACATACTATGGGGAAAGACAGTCTCTTTAATAAATGGTGTTGACGAAAACAATGAATCATGGAACACTACATCAAAAACTAATTATGTACTGTATGGTGACTAACATAATAAAATCAAATTAAATTAAAAAATAAATAAAATAAATAAATGGTGTTGAGAAAACTGGATAGCTACATGCAAAAGAATGAAACTGGACCACTTTCTTACATCATACCAAAAAAATAAACTCAAATGGAATAAAGACCTAAATAGAAGACCTGCAACCATAAAACCCCTAGAAGAAAACATAAGCAGTAAATTCTTGGACACTGGCTATAACAATGTTTTTCTTGATCTGTCTTAAGACCAAAGGAAGGGAAACAAAAGCAAAAACAAAACGGGATAATACCAAAATAAAAAGATTTTGCACAGCAAAAGAAACCATCAACAAAAGGAAAAGACAACCTACTTAATGAAAGAAGGTATATGCAAGTGATTTATCTTGTAGGGAGTTAATAATCAAAATATATAAAGAACTCATATAAGTCAACACCAAAAAGACAAATAATTACAAAATAGGTGGAGGACCTGAATAGACATTTTCCCAAAACCAACATACAGATGACCATCACTCATCATCAGGGAAATGCAAACCAAAACTGCAATGAGATATCACCTCACACATGTTGGAATGCCTAGTATCAAAGAAGAAATAACAAGTGTTGGTGAGGATGTGGAGAAAAAGTGGGAATGTAAATTGGTGCAGCCATTATGGAAAACAGTATGGCGTTTCCTCAAAAAATTAAAATAGAAATACCATACAATCCAGCAATTCCACTTCTGGGTATTTACCTGAATAAAACAAAAACACCAATTTGAAAGATATATGTGCCCCTATGTTTACTGCAGCATTATTTACAATAGCCAAGATATGGAAGCAACCTAAATGTCCACTTATAGATAAAAGGATAAAGATGATGTGATATATATAAGCAATGGAATATTACTCAGCCATAAAATGATGGAATCTTGCCATTTGTGACAACACGGATGGACCCAGGGGGTATTCTGCTAAGTGAAATAAATCAAAGAGAAATACTATAGGATTTCACTTACATGTGGAATCTAAAAAAACAAAACAGACTCTTGAATACAGCAACAAACTGGCGGTTGTCTGGGGGGGCTGAGAGGGGGGGAAATGGGTAAAGGAGATTAAAAGGTACAACCTCCCAGTTATAAAATCAATTGTGGGGATGAAAAGTACAGCACAGGAAATATAGTGAATAATATTGTAATGATTTTGTACGGTGACAGATGGTAAGTACACATGGTGAGCATTTTGTAATGTATATAATTATTGAATCACTGTTGTACACCTGAAACTAATGTTGTATGTCAACTATACAAAATAATGGATAGAGTTTGTTTTGCAAGATGAAAGGGTTCTGTGGATTAACTAGTGGGGATGATCGCACAACAACATAAATGTACTTAATGCTACCGAACTGTACACCTAGAAATGGTTGAGATAATAAATTTTCTGTTGTGCATTTTAAAACTTTTAAAAATATAACTACATGTTAAAAATTATTAGTTCACAATTGATGGACACTTGGGCTGCTTCCATAGTTTGGTTATTGTAAATAATGCTGCTATAAACACAGGGGTGCATATATCCCTTTGAATTAGTGTTTTTATATTTTTTGGGTAATTATCCAATAGGGAGATTGCTGGATCATAGGGTAGTGTTATTTTTAACATTTTCAGACACCTCTATACGGTTTTCCACAACAGCTGCACCAATTAGCATTCCTACCAACAGTACTAGGGGGTTCCTTTTTCTCCACATCCTCACAAGCACTTGTTGTGTCTTGTGTTTTTGATTTTGGCCATTCTGACAGATGTGAGGTGATAGCTCATTGTGGTTTTGATTTGCATCTCCCTGATGATGAGGAATGTTGAACATCTTTTCATGTGTCTATTGGCCATCTGGATGTCTTCTTTGGAGAACTGTTTGTGGCTTCTGTCCATTTTTAATTCGATTATTTGTTTTTTGGGTGTTAAGCTTTTATCAGTTCTTTATATATTTTGGATACTAACCCTTTTCAGATAGGTCATTTGCAAATACCTCCTCCCATTCCATAGGCTGTCTTCGTTTCGTTGGTTTCCTTCACTGTGCAGAAGTTTTTTATTTTGCTATAGTCCCAACAGTTTATTTTTGCTTTTATTTCCCTTGTCTCCAGAGACATATCTAGAAAAATGTTGCTATGGCTGTGTGCTCTTCTAGGATTTCTATGGTTTCAGGTCTCACATTTAGGTGTTGAATATATTTTGAATTTATTGTGTGCATGGCAAAAGAAAGTGGTCCAGTTTCATTCTTTTACATGTGGCTGCCCATCCACTTTTCGCAACACCATTTGAAGAGACTTCTTCCCATTGTATATTCATTTCTCCTTTATCAAAGATTAATTGACCATATGATTGATGGCTTATTTCTGGATGTTGCTCTATTCCACTAAGCTGTGTCTATTTTTATGCCAGTATCACACTGTTTTGATTACTGCTTTGTAATATAAACTGAAATCTGAAATTGTGTTACCTCCAGTTTTGTTTTTTTCAAGATTGCTTTGGCTATTCACTGTCTTTTGCAGTTCCATACAAATTTTAGGATTGTTCTAGTTCTGTGAAAAATGCTGTTGGTATTCTGACAGGGATTGCATTAAGGCTGTAGATTACTTTGGGCAATATAGACATTTAAACAATATTTGTTCTTCCAACCCATGAGCATGGAATGTCCTTCCATTTCTTTGCATCATCTTGAATTTCCTTTGCCAATGATTTAGTTTTTAGAGTACAGGTTTTTCACCTCTTTGGTTAAGTTTATTCCTAAGTATTATTGTTTTTCTTTTTTAAGGATTTTATTTGAGAGAAAGAGTATGACGGAGAAAGGGGAACCCTCCTACACTGTTGGTGGCAATGCAAGGTGATGCAGCCACTCTGAAAAACGGTATGGAGGTTCCTCAAAAAGTTGAAAATAGAGCTACCCTATGACCCAACAATTGCACTACTGGGTAGTCACCCCAAAGATACAAATGTAGTGATCCGAAGGGGTAAGTGCACCTCAATGTTTATAGCAGCAATGTCCACAATAGCCAAACTATGCAAAGAGCCAAAATGTCCATCAACAGATGAATGGATAAAGAAGATGTGGTATATACATACAATGGAATACTATGCAGCCATCAAAAAATATGAAATTTTGCCATTTGCAATGACATGGTTGGAACTAGTGTTATGCTGAGTGAAATAAGTCAATCAGAGAAAGATAAGTATCATATGATCTCACTGATATGAGGAATTCTTAATCTCAGGAAACAAACTGAGGGTTGCTGGACTGGTGGGGGGTGGGAGGGATGGGGTGGCTGGGTGATGGACATTGGGGAGGGTATGTGCAATGGTGAGCACTGTGAATTGTGTAAGACCGATGAATCACAGACCTATACCTCTGAAACAAATAATATGTTATATGTTAAAAAAAAAAAAAAGGAAGAAGATAGTAGGAAGGGAAAAATGAAGGAGGGGAAATCGGAGGGGGAGATGAACCATGAGAGACTATGGACTCTGAGAAACAAACTGAGGGTTTTAGAGGGAAGGGAGGTGGGGGGATGGGCTAGCCCGGTGATGGGTATTAAGGAGAGCATGTATTGAATGGAGCACTGGGTGTTATACACAAACAAGGAATCATGGAACACTACATGAAAAACTAATGATGTAATGTATGGTAACTAACATAAAATAAAATAAACAAAAGAAAAAAAAGAAAGAGCATGAGCAATGGGGAGGGACAGAGGGAGGGAGAAGCAGACTCCACACTGAGCAGGGAGTCTGATGTGGGGCTCAATCCTGCAACCCTGAGATCATGACCTGAGCCAAAGGTAGACACTTAACAGACTGAGCCACCCAGATGCCCCAATATTTTACTGTTTTTGGTACAATTGTCAATGGGATTGTTTTCTTAATTTCACTTTCTGCAGCTTCATTATTATTGTATAGAAATGCAACAGACTTATGCACATTGATTTTGTATCTTGTGATTTTGCTGAATTCATTTACCAGGTCTAGTATTTTTTTGGTGGAATCCATAGGGTTTTCTCTATATAGCATCATTTATTCTTTAATCATGATAAATGTATTTTTTGAGACATGTACTCTTTAATCCACATCTCCAATTTCCCCCATCCCCTACCCATCTCTTCTCTGGTAACCATCAGTTTGAGGAGTTGGCTGGGAAGATGACAGAGTAGGAGGACTCTAAGCTCACTTTGTCCCATGGATACTACTAGATAACACCCATGTCAGCATAAATAATCCCCCTCCCCCAAAATAAACAACTCAAAGAATGACAGAACAAACTACACAAAGGCAGGGAAGAGGTCACATGAAAGAAGGGAATGAAATAGACAGTGGCCAACCAACCTCAGGGGAGATTGAGAGAAGGGCAGTGTTGCAGAGAAGGGCAGAAACCAGACTTTCACACTGGGGAGCCCATGAACAGGAAGGCCAAATCTCTGTAATATTTGTTTTTGAAAATGAGAGGCTATATTTGTAAGTTCTTAAAACCAGCAGGACTCAAAGCTTGGAATTTTAAAAATTGGCAGGCTTGGATATGAGAAGTAGGGTCCTCATTCTCAAAGAGACAGCAGGAGAAATAGCCTGTGCATATACAGCATAGAACTAGGAGTTTGGATAATGCTGGGGACTGATGGGAGGGTGTTCTGCTCATCTCAGAGAGTGGCCTAGAGGGACAGGGATCATGAGGGGACCCCCTCCAGGAACAAGGGAGCTGGCAGATGCCATTTCCCTCTCCCATGCCCCAACATAAACAATGGCCACCTAAGCATCCCTGACACCCCTTACCTAACTTGCTTGTACCAAACCCCAACTCCCTGTACTCCCACCCTACGCACTTCAGTCAATCATCCCTTCCCAGTCACACTTGCCTCAGTCCTGGCACTACAGGCCCCCTTCCCTAGAAGGCCAGCACAAACACTGCCAACACCACATCTCCTGACTCCCACATCTTGTAGGAACTCAGAGCAGTGGCAAGGGCAGGTCTTGTTTTGCAAACAGACCACCATACACCTTGCTGCCCACAATAGGCAGAGAGTGTCTACAGACAACTGAAGGTAAAAGAGGCCAAGACTCAAAAGCAGAGCATACACAAAACACAAGACACTCCCTGAAGTGTTAGTCCCTGGGAAACAGGAGACACTGTACTGCAGGGCACTACAGAACCTCTTCTTCATAAGGCTATTATCATTAAGAGCAAGAGAAGTAGCTGACTTTCCTAACACATAGAAACAGACACAGAAAGCCAGACAAAATGAGGAGACAGAGAAACTACTTTCAAATGAAAGAACAGGACAAAACCACAGTAAGAGACCAAAGCAACACAGATGTAAGTAATATGCCTGATAGAGAATTTAAAGTAATGATCATAAAGATAATCACTGGACTTGAGAAAAAAGTGGAGAACATCAGTAAGCCCCTTAACACAGAGATTAGAAAGAATCAATCAGAGATAAAAAAAAATTCAATGCATGAAATTTTAAAAATACAGTGATGGAATAAATAGCAGTCTAGATGAAGCAGAGGAATAAATTAATGACCTAGAAGAGTAATGGAAAGTAATTAAGCTAAATGAAAGAGAAGAATTATGCTAAACAGAATAGACTTGGGGAACTCAGTGACTCCATCAAAATAACAACATTCATATTATAGGAGTTCTAGAAGAAGAGAGAAAAGGGGGCAGAAAATTTATCTGAAGAGATCATACCTGAAAACGTCCCCAATCTGGGGAAGGAAAAAGATATCCAGACCCAGGAGGCACAGAGATCCACATAAAAATTCAACCCAAGGAGGTCCACACCAAGACACAAAGTAATTAAAATGGCAAAAAGTAGTGGTAAAGAAAAAAAAAATAAAGCAGCAAGAGAAAAGAAGACAGTTACATACAAAAGAAACCCCTTAAGGCCATGAGCAAATTTTTCAGCAGGAACTTGGCAAGCCAGAAAGGAGTAACAGCATATATTCAACATGCTAAAAGAAAAAACTTGCAACCAAGAATACTCTATCCAGCAAGGCCGCAGTTCAAAATAGAAGGAGAGACAAAGAGTTTCCCAGACAAAAACTAAAGGATGTCAAGTGACCTCTAAACCAGCCCTACAAGAAATATTAAAGGGAACTCTTTGAGTGGGAAGGAAGACTATAAGTAAAAAATGAAAAACAAAAGCAGTAAAAATAAAATTTCTATAAAATTCAGAAAGGAATTCATAAAAGGTTGTAAAATATGATACCATATACATAAAACATGGGCGATAGAGGTTTAAGTTTAATCACTAAAGAATGGGTTTAAACTCAAGTGACCATCAAGTTAATGTAGACTGCTATATGCAGAAGATATTATATACAAACCAAATGGTAACCCCAAATCAAAAACTACTAATACACATGCAAAGAATAAAGAGAAAGGAACCCAAGCATATCACTAAAGAAAGCCAACAAACCATGAAAGAGAGTAAGAGATTTTCAGAGAAAATCTATAGAAACAAGTACGAAAATGGCAATAAATACGTATTTATCAGTAATTTTGAATGTAAATGGACTAAATGCTCTTCTTAAAAGACAGAGGATGACGGAGTGGACAAAAAAATAAGACCCATCCATGTACTGCCTACAAGAGACTCATTTCAGACCTAAAGACACCTGCAGATTGCAAGTGAGGGAATGGAGGAACACTTATCATGCAAACGGATGCCAAAGGAAAGCCAGGGTAACGATACTTATATCAAACAAAATAGACTTTAAAACAAAGGCTGTAACATGAGACAAAGAAGGACACTATATAATAATAAAGGGGACAATTCAACAAGAGGATATAACAATTGTACATACTTATGCACCCAACATGGGAGCACCCAAATACATAAAATAACATAAAATAATTGATAGTAATACAATACAGTAGGGGACTTTAACTCCCCACCTATATCAATGGACAGATCATCCAAACAGAAAATCAACAAGGAAACCGTGGCTTTGAATGACACACTGGACCGGATGGATTTAATAGACATATTCAGAATATTCCATCCTAAACCTGTAGAACTCATATCCTTTGAGTGCTCATGGAACATTTTCCAGAACAGATCATGTATTAGGTCACAAAACAAGTCTCAACAAATTAAAAAAAAAAAATAGAAGTTCTACCATGCATCTTTTCTGACTATAGTGCTATGAAACTAGAAATCAATGACAAGTAAAAGTCTGGAAAGAATACAAATACGTGGAGGTTAAATAACATGCTACTAAACAATGAATGGGTCAACCAAGAAATCAAAGAAATTACATGAAAAAATTACATGAAAATGGAAACACAGCTCTCCAAAATCTGTGGGATGCAGCAGAAGTGATTCTAAGAGGAAATTTTTTGCAATACCAGCCCACCTCAAGAAGCAAGAAAAATCTTAAATGGCCTAACCTTACACTTAAGCTAGAAAAAGAACAAACAAAACCCAAACCCAGCAAAAGGAAGGAAATAGTAAAGACTAGGGCAGAAATAAATGATATAGAATCTAAAACAAAATAAAACAAAAAACAACAGATCTATGAAACCAGAAGATGATATTTTGAAAAGATCAATAAAATTGATAAACCTCTAACAAGACTCATTAGAGAGAGAGAGAAAAAGGACCCAAATAAAATTACTAATGGAAAAGGAGAAACAACCACCAACACCCCAGAAATACAATTGTATAAGGGAATATTATGAAAAACTACATGCCAACAAATTGGACAACCTAGAAGAAATGGATGAATTCCTAACATAATCTACCAAAACTAAAGCAGGAAGAAATAGAAAACTAGAACAGACAAATCACCAGCAATGAAATTGGTTCAGTAGTCAAAAAAACTACGCACCTCCCAAAAAAAAAGTCCAGGACCAAAGAGCTTCACAGGCAAAGTCTACCAAACATTTAAAGAGGAGTTAATTCCTATTCTTCTCAAACTATTCCAAAAAATGAAAGCGGAAGGAAAATTTCCAAATTCATTCAGTGATGCCAGTATCACCCTTATACCAAACCCGATAAAGATATCAGAAAAAAAAGAGAACTAGAGGCCAATATCTCTCATGAATATAGATGCAAAAATCTTCAACAAAGTATTACCAAACCAAATCCAACAATACATTAAAAAAATCATACACCACAATCAAGTAGAATTTATTCCTGGGATGTGAGGAATATATTTCAATATTTGCAGAACGATCAATGTGGTATGTCATTTCTAATAAAAATAAAACAACAAATTGAAAGAATCAGGAAGAATTTACAGGAAAGAATTTTCACCTGCCCTGCAAATGTGACAGAAAACTTGTAACAAGCACTTTATGCATGTGATCCTATTGTGTTTTTTCAACAACCCTAAGAGAGGGATTCTGCTATTATCACACATTACAGATGAAGACATGGAGGCCTAGAGGAATTAGTACTGTGTCCAAGGTTACATATAAAGCAAAGATTTGAACCCAAGTATTTTACCTGGGGACCCAAACTCTTAACCAGATGCTATAGTTGATATTTGCACATATATGGTCAGAATGGGCTAGGA